ACACACACTGTTCAGGTGTAATGGTAAATATATATTCTTATCATTGTGTATTGCACATTGCGTTCAGTCTGTTTGTTATTCCTAGATTTAACCTTTACTGGTAGTAACTCAGTAATTCAGCCCTGTTCTGCGCTAATCGTATGTTGTCGAACCTCCTGTTATTAGTATAGCGGATTTATTTGGTGAACTCTATAGTACAATCAGATTCACCTGAGAATACCACGAAATTTTAGTTGCATAATGCGTAAAGTTTACTTTTGAAGTGTAAATCGCCTCTATTAAGTATGCACACACATATATACATATATGTGGGTAAGCATATATAAATATTACTATATATATATAATATATTTCACATATGTCAATTTAACAGAAGCCAAGCAACATAGTGTACACTAGAAGTATGTTGAATGAAATGAAATTTCTGAAACTTCTGGCGTCAAATATTCAATTTGATTTTAACAAAAACAAGATTGCAGTTTGTTTATATTGGAATATTTTAAACATGTTTCTTATGAACAGGAGCAAAACGCCAATTAAATCGTTCTTACTCCCAAGTGGCTCAGCTGTAAGTCTGAGGACTTATAACGCTAAAAAGTGGATTTCGATACCCGTAGTGGGCACAGTAAGGATAGCCCATTTGTGTATCTGTGTGTTACAAACAAGAATCGTTCTCTATTCTTAAATTGAGTGATCTGCACAGCATAATTTGTAGTTTATACACTAATGTTAAACCTCACTGGATACAAAGCAGCCTTTAATTATCCTAGTTCCCACAATATTTATAACTGTTTGTATTAGCATTTCAGATTGGCTACTTTCGTTTATATCGAGTACATACAAAACCTCAAATGAACGATCCAATTGTTATGTAAATCTCACGCAGTTTAGCCAATGCATGTTTTTTTTATAACTGATCATGTGATTATTCCTACTAGAGATATGGATATGACACAACTCACAGCTGCACCTGAAGCTCCAGTACCATCGATCCATATTCTGATGCAGAGCGGTAGAGAAGCAACTACTGTTCGGATAGGTGATAAACTAACTTTCCGAATTGAGATTACCGGAACCAGTGAGTACAGCTATTAAAACACGAAAAAACATCATTTATTGTTTTTTTAATAAACAAAGACGGAATAAATGATCTTCCAAAGTTGTTTGTAACATACAAACCATTGAACTACTTCATTTGATGACGTATGAATGTTTGACAGGAAAAACGAATACATTTTAAAAGATATTTATAGTTTGTTTGGAACCGATAAATACTTATTTTTACCCTTTAATAAGTAGAATTAGACACCATTATAACATACCTTTTTATTAGTATTCAGGGTACTAACTGAGCTACTCCTGCTTATTTTAGTCCCCAGGTGGAACATCGGACTTATAACGCTAAAATTAGGGGATCAATTCCCCTCGACGGACACAGCAGATAATTCAATGTGTCTCTGCTATAACAAAATATATATATATACACACACACACATTCTTTATTAGAACTAGACAACAGTAAAACATATTTTTGTCAGTCTTAAATGTAGTAATGCTTATTTTGGTAAATGTAAATGTAAATGATTTAATAATACCACAGATATATAACTGGGATTGTGAGGTCCAAAGTTCGAGCCGTGACATACTGCTGAGTACACTCCACATTTGTAGCTGTGGTAAAGTTATGATGGCTCAGTCAGTTCCACTATTTGGCAACGGGTAGCCTCACAACAGGCAGTAACTGCTGCTGTGTGGTTACTTTCCTTATGGTCAACAGTTCTAAATTAAGGATAACGCTATGTCTAAACCATACGGGTCTCTGACATCACTGTTAAACCAATGTGTCTCATATGGTGCCGTTCAGGTTGGAAATATATATATCGTAATGTTAACTCTGTTATACTTGGATTAAACTTCAAGTTTTAACCTATTCGTACATGAGTGTGTAAGATAACTGGACTTCACATTTAAAATAAATATATAACTATTTATAAATAGTAGTGCAGTGATAAATCTGGCATTATATGGTGCCGTCATGTAAAATCTGGCATTACATATTACAGAAGTGTAAGATCTGGAATCACATGGTGCAGTAGTGTAAGATCTGACATTATATGGTACTATCGTATACAATTGGTCAAAAACTAATAAATTCGTCTTTCGCTCCTATGCAATTACACAAAAAAAGAGCACTAGCGTTATATCTTTATAAATAACTTCAGAATTTTGTAATCAGGTTATATAAACTGGGATTGGTTATAAAAGAAGTCTATTAATATCCAATGAACGCTCAAAATGTAAAAATAACCAGTGCTCATATCAACTATCACTATTCAATTTTTGTTTTTGTTTTTCAGTGCCTTTTAAAATATATATATTATGCTACTTGTGTCCTGTTTTCTTTCTTTAATTTTATTCCATTACTTTGGCATATCTATTGAAAACAATGTAACAAAATCATGAATAAATTGATATTAAATATTTTCTACACATCGGCTGTTTGAAAATAAAATAATTTAAAATAGAAATATAGCTTCTTTCTAATTGTTATGCAATGCGGTCTAATCATAGTTTAAGACTTTTAAGGTTTTAGGTAAACGTTTGCCTGGTTTCTTGAAGTCACAGGTTTGTGTGAAGAACTGGATGAACTAAATCCGGTGAAATTTGGTAGAGGAACTCACGTGAACTCCGGAAAGTCGAGATAAAATGGATAATCAATCAAATAAACTGTTCCAATTTGCTACCCAATAAGCTTTTGAATGAGTGAAGTCGACACCAATAGAAAGTGAAGTTTAATGCCGCCCACAGCGAGGGTATTTTTAGCTTTTTAATGAGTGAAGTCGACACTAATAGAAAGTGAAGTTTAATGCCGCTCACAGCGAGGGTATTTTTCCTGATCACCTGTGTTCCGTAGGCTTGCAAGTCGAAGGATGCACATGCACATCATCCTCCCACTTCCTAAAATCAGCAAAGTAAATATGGATTTGCAGAGCAAACATTTTTTTATTTCACCAGGCTAATCTGGCATTATTAGGTGATTTATACGAAATGTTTGTTTGTTTGTTATGAATTTCGCGCAAAGCTACACGAGAGCTATCTGCGCTAGCCGTCCCTAATTTAGCAATGTAAGACAAGAGGGAGGGCAGCTAGTAATCACCACCCACCGCCAACTCTTGGGCTACTCTTTTACCAACGAATAGTGGGATTGACTGTCACATTATAACGCCCTCTCGACTGAAAGGGCGAGCATGTTTGGTGCGACGGGGATTCGAATCTGCGACCCACAGATTGCGAGTCGAGCGCCCTAACCACATGGCCATGCTGGGCCCTATATGAAATGAATCTTGTTCTCGTGAAATGTGAAGAAATAAAAAAATAAAACGATTTACAAGAGAACTAAGATCTAATTTTTACTTCCAGGAATCCCATGTTTTGGAACTATCCCAACGCCTTCATTTCATATTGTTTAAAAAGACACGAAATAATATATAATAATATTTTTTAAAAATATGTTGAGATGCATTCGTTTGACCTCTGGACTCACTTGCTGCAACATTAGCACGTGAAACTAGGATACATATAAAATTAACTTAATATTTTGATTGACTGATGGCTCTCCTTTTTTAACAATAGTTTGAGCTAGTATGATGTTTTAACACAGGTCCTTATGGAATCTTCGCCAGAAGTTGTGTGGCTATGGCAAAAGATGGAAAAAGTGTGTTTAGAATTATAGATAAAGATGGGTGAGAAGTTATTTTTTTGCTTGTTCAATAATCTCAAGGTATTTTGTTTAGACTTATTTTTAATATTTACTTACTGCAGTCTAAGTTTGAACGTAACTTTGAATTTAGATTTTTAAAAAGTTCTGAACATTTCCTTTTTTACTTATGCCATAATGGAGAAGACGTGGTAGTCGACAGTTACATACATATGTTTTCCCTCAATAACTTTGGCTCCACAGTGGCACAGCGGTATGTCTATGGACTTACAACGATAGAAAACTGGTTTTTATACCCGTGATGGGCAGAGAACAGATATCCCATTGTGTAGCTTTGCGCTTAACTTCAAACAATCGCACTTTGTAGTGTTGCTGTAACGCCTTGTGAATTTCTTTTATTTCTTTGTTTGAAGTTAAGCACAAAGCTACACAATGGCTATCTGTGCTCTTCCCACCACGGGTATCGAAATCCAGTTTCTAGCGTTATAAACCCGCAGACATACTGCTGTACCACTAGAGGGCAACGCCTTGTGAAACTTAAATCGTTATTTTAGTTTTGTTATAGCGTCACATAGAATTTAAAAATGCTGATTTATTGTGTTGTTGTAACAATATACAAAACTAAAAAAATCCGTTTTCTATTGTGTTATAGCGTCATGTAAAATTTGAAAATACTATATTTTTGTGTTTTTGTAAAACCACATGAAATTTGTAAAATCTGCTTGCTATTTTGTTATAGCGTCATATCAAATTTTAAAATGCTATATTATTGTGTTGTTGTAACGCCACATGAAATAAAAAAATTATGTTTTTTAGTGTTATTGTAACAACGTATGAAATTTAAAAATGTTATATTATTGTGTTGTTCTAACACCATATGAAAATATAATTCACTTAAAATCACAGTTGGTTATTTGTTTGTTGTTTCATTATTGTGTTGTTCTTACACCATGTGAAACATAATTCACTTAAAATCATAGTTGGTTATTTGTTTGTTGTTTAATTATTGTGTTGTTCTAACACCATGTGGAAACATAATTCATTTAAAATCACAGTTCACGGTTGGTTATTTGTTTGTTGTTTAATTATTGTGTTGTTCTAACACCATGTGAAAACATAATTCACTTAAAATCACAGTTGGTTATTTGTTTGTTGTTTAATTATTGTGTTGTTCTAACACCATGTGGAATAATAATTCATTTAAAATCACAGTTTACGGTTGGTTATTTGTTTGTTAGTGAATTATTGTGTTGTTCTAACACCATGTTAAAATGCAATTTACTTAAAATCACAGTTTACGATTAGTTATTTGTTAGTTGTTTACATTCTCACGCACAAGCCAGTAATCTACTTTTTCTTATATATGTGTGTGCATGTATTATTTTAACCTGTAGGTGTCCTGTTGACAGTTCCATTTTCCCAAGGCTTACCCAGGTTGGGCAAGGGTTGGAGAGTAATTACGAAGCCTTTCGCTTCACCGAATCTTATGGGGTTATTTTTCAATGCAACGTCAAATATTGTATCGGAAAATGCGATCCGGTAAGCCATACATCAGTTAAACGTGGACCTAAAGTTTATGATTTGTTGTTGAATTCTAGCAATCTAGATCAAAATACTCGCTGATGAACTGGTAAAAAAAGTGGGTAAAGTAACCATTTTAATTCTTGGGCTCCAAGAGTGTGTAAAATTTGAAACGAGCATTCAGTAGACTCCATATTCCCAAACTGAGAAGTGAGTAAACACGTGATTTGGTAAGTAAATCTTGCATGCCATCTTGTAACATTTATAACTATTTGGTAAGTCAATATTTCATGATGTTTTGAAATGATCTAATAAGTCAAACTTTTATGAAATTTTTCAAATTTTACAGTGAGTTCGAAAGTGAAATTTACTTGCAGATTTGTAAAATATACAGAGATTTTGTAAGCTAAATTTACACGGGATTTTGTAAACTTTACAATGATTTTGTATGTCAAACGTACGTGCGCTTTTATAACACTAAAAACCGGGTTTAGATACCGGTGGTGGGCAGAGTACAGATAGCCCATTGTGTAGCTTTATGCTTAACAACAAACAAACAAACAAAATACCTGCTATTTTGTAAACGTTGCAATGATTTGGAAAATCAAACTTATATGCGATTTTGGAAACTTTACAGATATGCTGCTAAGATTCTGATTCAGGTAGTGTGATCAGTCCCTTCACGTTTAAACTATTACCAAAGTAATATGTAACTTGGATTGTTTTAAGTTTGGATCCTCGATAATACAGGCCTGCGAATTTAAAATTCATAAAAGTTGTTTCAGTTTTAATAACGGGTTTTTCATAATTCAGCCATGCAGATTTCGAAAATATTATTAATTTTTTTATCACGTAAGGATTTTTTACAAATCGGAAAGAAAAAAACTTACTTAGATCAAATTATTACTTCGTTTATTACAATGAAAATATTTTATTTTTATGTTTATTAACAAAAATACAAACAAACTGAAGAAAAGGAAAGGACATTGATGTTAAACGAATATGCATCCTCATTCATCCTATTTTTTTGTGTAAAACCTATGTCTTTTTAATTTCGATGACGAGGAACCCACTTTGAGACTAATAATGGCTGGAGACGGCTTGAATGGGTAATGAAGAAAAA